CATACCTTACTAGCTTGAGCGCGAGCGGAAGCGGCTGCATGCGCCCAACGCACAGAATGACGAGACAGCATCCTCTTCTTTCCGGACCCTCGGCTAAACAAGAGGAGTTTCCAAGCGGATGCGTGAGCATCACTTCAGGCTCGATAAAGACTGGGTGAACCAGTGGGATGCAGACAAAGAAAACAAATTAAGTCCTTTTGTATTGCAAAAACATATAATCTGTACAGATCAAACATTCATCTACAAACATACACCTTTCATACAAACATACACCTATCTATCCTATCCTATACAAACCCTACTGGCGTCGTGGTATGACACAAAATGCGCTCATAACAAGAGGTTAATAACCCGAAATCTAATGTAGATTCACAAACAGCGACCGGAAGAGAAGTCTATGCACTTCGGCAGGCACAGCAGTGAAGGTTTGTACCTGTGGTACCTGCTTCAATCTTCGGTAGTTCCCTGCCTGAGATACATGAGCGTTTCTTGAAACACTGCAGTCTCGATCAGTTATGGGCAGCACTTCGTATTGCACGATATGGAAAGAGATTCTCGCCACGACAGGCAGCTTTTGATATCGTATCCGCATCCTTGCTTGACTCCCTTAAATGCCGTTGTCGATCTAAAAAGTGCGTAGCAGCTGGTCCCGGTCGAAAAACTGCTATTTTCTCTGCGAGCTTTTCTTTAGTACTCTTCTTATCAAGTAGCTTCCCATCGTCCCGCTGCGTCTGAATTACAGAAGTAACCAAAAGTCTTTTCGATATCTCATTTCATGAGGAAAGCTTTCTCACCTTTTGTAGGGTAATCTTGAACACTAAACCATTGCCATCAACCGTCAAAACAGAATAACCATCGAACCAGCTTAGCTGAACAAAACTGTACTGACAAACAGAGCGCGATGCTTAGCGTGACACTGTTGTAGACCAACCCACATTCTTCATGCGATAGTCGAATCTTAGAAGACGTGGATTCATAAGAAGCCGTATTATTGACACATATTTCACACGCCAACGACATCGTACAGTTCCATCTTCGATCACAGGTACCACGCTCACTGCCTGCAACAACTGGCTGTAATTTTGAACATGATATGTATGAAACGAAATACCTCCATCTGCACATGTGGCAAGGTGAACTGTCCCACGACGCTGATGGTTCCAAAATGTTGCATGAGCTGATCTAGCCCACTGAAAATTTCACAAAGTTGAAGAGAAGAAGAGACGATGTTTTCGGTGAAGATAATGAGCTTATAATGGTTTTGTGATGAAATGATACCGAAAAACACGGAGTAAAGCGCCTACACTCAGAGTTGCACGGCTTTTCTCAATCAACTCTCTAATCAGAGATCTGAGGTAGACCTTAGTATTATACAAGTACTTTTCTTATACTCTTCTTGGTCAAAAAAAAA